AAAAAAAAAGAAAGCAAAATTTGGAGTGGTTTGATGATACACCCTTATTAATAAATGTAAAAAAAAGTGCAAAAGCAAATTGATAAGGAATTTGGTAAGTGTGGTTAACTCCTTCTATGTAAAGACCTGTTTTTTAGTGAATCTTGTGCTTCTAATTTTAAAGAAACACTGCTATGAAAAACAAAAATGAGGGAAAATGACTCATCCTTATGTAAACCATTTACATTGACAGGCTAATTAATGTAAGTAGTAAGAAACCACAGTTTAAGAAACCACAGTTCTCGGGGCGCCTGGGTGGCGCAGTCGGTTAAGCATCCGACTTCAGCCAGGTCACGATCTCACGGTCCGTGAGTTCGAGCCCTGCGTCGGGCTCTGGGCTGATGGCTCGGAGCCTGGAGCCTGTTTCCGATTCTGTGTCTCCCTCTCTCTCTGCCCCTCCCCCGTTCATGCTCTGTCTCTCTCTGTCCCAAAAATAAATAAAAAACGTTGAAGAAAAAAAAGAAATTTAAAAAAGAAACCACAGTTCTAGTCAGCCCTCAGTATCTTTTTCCTTTACTTCTCTAAATCCCCAAAATAGTCAGATAATGCCTTCTCTAAATGTATTTCTGGCACTAATTTGAAAATCTATTCTCCAATAGTTGGTTATAAAGCTACTATTATTTTAAAGACATGTTCTATTCAGTGTGATGAGTAGGTATATTCTAGTGCAAAATTGCCCTATCACCCACTTCATCATTAGTTATAGTATTATGATTATTACTATTTTATAATGTAATATAAACACAACTGTAGTATATAACATATAGTATAATTGTTATTTTACATAGATAACAATGATATACAATAATTAAGGAGGTTTTGTTTTAAGTTAAAACTTGTTTTAAAGAGCTTTCTTTTTAGGGGAAAAAATACAAGGGGCAACCTAGATAAAATTAAACAATTAGTATATTTTTGGTCACAGATTTTCTTAATATCTGTGGTTGATTTCCTTGATATCTATGCATTGATCTTTATGCCAGACCATACCATATAATCACTTGTGCTCTGGCCATCACCCTATGTATTTTTAAATACTTCCCAGCCAGGCAATTCCAGTCTTCAATTCAGCTAGAGTTTAAGAATCATTGGTCTCAAAATGTGGTCTCTGGAGCAGTAGCAACCAGTATCCTTTGGGAACTTGTTAGAAATACAAATTATTGACCCCTTCCTAGACCCCCTGAATCAGCACTCTAGAAGTAGAACCCAGTAATTTTTCTTTTCAGAAGCCCTCAAGTGATTCTGATGCATCCTTAAGTTTGAGAACTGTTGGTCTAGATCTTTGGAAGACCACTCAGTAGCATGTCTCTGCAGGATGGCTATAGATTGGCACATGTACCAAAGAATGGTTCCATCCCCAGAAAATGTAGACCCCAAAATTAATTCCATATTTATAAAGAAATGAGCCAGTGGAAATCCTACCACACTTGTATGTCCATTGATATCAACTCGACTTGAGCGATTTGTAGTGTCAGCCACAGGGTATTGACAAAAACACTGTATGAAAAATTCCTGATGTAATAAGCCATGGGGTTATCTGTATTACTGAAATGCAATAGAAACATAATGCAAGCCGCGTGTGTAGTTTTAAATTTTTACGTTACAAAAAGGTAAGAAGGAATAGGTAACATATTTTTAATGATGTATTTTATTTAACCCAGTAGATCCCAAATTAATATCCTTTAAACATGTAATTAGTATAAAAATATTAATGAGGTGTTTTATTTATATACTGAATTGTAAAAATCTGGTGTGTATTTTACCCTTAACGCTACATCTCAGTTCAGACTAGCCACATTTCAAAGTGCTCAGCAGCTATAGTGGCTAGTGGCTAACATATTAGACAACAAAGATTTAATTCTGCCATAATTTTGTTGTATATATTATTACTACATGTAAATGAATAAGTGTGTTTAAAATAAAAAGTTTATAGTAGAATCTAGCCTCTAGTTCTACTTGTTTCATAGTACAGAGTCCTACTGCAGAATATGCTTTTTTAAAATTTGACTCAAGTTTAACATTCTCTGAGGACAGGGCCCTGACTTCCTGTCATTTATTTACTTCATTCTGAGGAGATTACACCAATCTAAAAATTTTCCTAAGGATTCTTTTCCATTTTATTTTTTTTTAATTTTTTTTTAACGTTTTATTTATTTTTGAGACAGGGAGAGACAGAGCATGAACAGGGGAGGGTCAGAGAGAGGGAGACACAGAATCTGAAACAGGCTCCAGGCTCCGAGCTGTCAGCACAGAGCCTGATGCGGGGCTCGAACCCACAGACTGCGAGATCGTGACCTGAGCCAAAGTCGGCCGCTTAACCGACTGAGCCATCCAGGCGCCCCTTCTTTTCCATTTTAAAAGGCATGATATTATAAGTTGGATGTAAACATTCTGCTGGTTGGAGAGAGAAGTAATTCTTAATAGTTTTCTGAACGTTGTTAATGTTTAGGCAAGAAGTAATATTATACCAACTGAGGTGACCAAGTAGGAAAGAATCACATGTATTTGAGAAGAACAGCGTGTAGCTAAGCATCTGCTTTGACAAAACAATCTGTCTTGTTTTGTCAAATGTATTTGTCAATGTATTAGTCTTCTTTAAATCTGCTTTTTATATCAGTATTTTAAAAATTGATGTATAATTTCCAGCCACGGAAACGTAACCAAAATTTAGACAGTTTAAGCTCTTGACTCTGACCTATATTCAGAACTCTGTGACCTTGGATAGGCTACCAAGTGTCCCTAACCTCTGGCCCCTAACTTTTGTCTCCTGTAAAGACTTAAGGACACTAATGCTGTTAAAACATTCAGTATCAGGCCTGTCACATAATACATGCTCAGGTACTGTTAGTTATTGTTATTTTGTATCATTTTATTTATTTATTTATTTTTAAATTTTTTTTTTTAATGTTTATTTATTTTTGAGACAGAGAGAGAGAGCATGAACGGGGAGGGTCAGAGAAAGAGGGAGACACAGAATCCGAAACAGGCTCCAGGCTCTGAGCTGTCAGCACAGAGCCCGACGCGGGGCTCGAACCCACAGACCGTGAGATCATGACCTGAGCCGAAGTCGGACGCTCAACCGACTGAGCCACCCAGGCGCCCCTATTTTGTATCATTTTAATTACAGCATAAAATAACATGGAGAATGGGAAGAATTTGAATTTTTGTCAAATGTCCCCATAATGAAAATTTAAATTTTTGATGTGATAGGAAATATTACTTCAATAGAATGTACTTAAGAACTTGCTTCTTTAAATTCTTACATTTTAGTATTTTTAAATAACTTAATTTCTTCAGTGTAAATAGCAAAGAATTTTCCAAATAAAATGCCAAATTATAATAGAAAACTATAATGAATTCCACTGTTTGTGTGAGATAATATAATTTATTTTATTTCCAACATTTTCAAAGAAGCTTTATAAATGAAAAGCTCATTTTAAATAGGAGATATGACTTCAGGAATTTGGAAGATTTTAATTTAGACTTAATTATGTTATTAACCCATCTTTTTCTTACATAATTATGGTATTATTTTGTTGCAGTTAAAGTACCAGAGGATCTTGGAACGATTAGAAAAAGAGAACAAAGAATTAAGAAAATTAGTATTACAGAAAGATGACAAAGGCATCCATCACAGAAAGCTTAAGGTATTTTAAGTTTATCTGAATTTTGTTAGTTCCAGAAGTTTGCCATTTCACACTGTGCATTCAGTCAGTACGTTTTTAAAGCTGTAATATGTTCTATCCTTTTCTTTCTAACTTGATATCCTTGGGAGATTGGGAAGTCTTTCCTATCTTAAGACATTTCACAAATTATAGTCTCCAGACATTTGTTTCATACTAGGCCTATAAAATCTTCATACTTTTAACAATCATTTCTTGTGAATCCATTTATTTTTCTGAAATAGCCACTTTATCTTTAGGCTTATTTAATTTCTACGGCATAAAATCAGAATTGTGAGTTGATAGACATTTAGATACGACTTAACTTCATTGCCACACTTGTATTTCCAGTGAATGATTAGTTCACTTTCCTCACTTTTATAAGAATTCACGTTTTTTTCTGGAAGGTTTCTTAGGTATTTTAGAGAATGTTGGAAAAAAGTATATACTGGGATTGTGACCATCAGCACACTGGTAATTACCATTATTGGTAAGTTAAATCTTATTATTGCCCACTAAACCAGGCTGTATGTGCTGAATTAAATTGAAGTAATATTTTTAACTTGTATCTCATGTAAGTAAACAGTATTTGTGTATAGCAAACCTACAATAAATCATGACATGTATTCTGAAGCCAAGGTCCAAAGCTAAGTAGTACTAGTTTAACCAACATGTATTAGTAGTTCTGACTTTAAATCACGACTGCATAAAACAGATAAATAGCATGGCTTTATTCACAAGTCACATGTGGCAATTGAGGGAAGTCATGTCCAAGTGTTAATAGAGTTCACCTCAGAAACAGTATTTTCTCTCATAAAATGAAATGGTAGTGAAAATTTCAAGAACTTTTTATTTTGGGGTGGAGGGCATAGCAGTTGTTTTCCATTTAATTACTTTGAGGTGTTATGAGATGCAAGAAAACATAGGCCCCTCGTTTTGTTCCTACCTTGCATTGAAACTTGTCTTTAATTATTATGTGCTTGACAGTAACCCTTTTTTTCCCACCTGTTTTACTTATTTGTTGAGTCACTCATCAGATACTTTCTTCAAGCTTATTGTTTGCTGGGTTCCATGTTCTGTCCTGGTTCTACACAGAAAAACAATGCAGGATGTCTGTCCCTGATGCTCTCACTCCTTCATCTGCCTAGTTGTCACAGTACACGTACTCATTCTTACTGATTTAACGGTCTTCTTGGTGACTTTTTTTCTCTACTTTTATCCTTTCTTCGGTCTCTGTTTCTCACCCTCTCTGTGTGTCTCCCTCTGATCCACATACCAAACTTGATAGAGGATGATTCCCTTGCAGTTGGTCACTTGACTCCTTGTTTGGCCTTATGGTGTTAATGGCCTTCCTTTGTTGGGCACTTATTTTAGCTCTTCAATGTTAAACCATAACGTCCCTCTTTTAACATTTCATTAGAAGCTTAGGAAATCCTCAGTTAATGTACTTTATTAAATCAGTATATCTCTGAATAAAATAAGATGGATAAGAGGGAAATGGAATTTCATGCCACACTGTTTTACTATGAATGTGTATTTATATAATTGGAAAAAAACAATACAGTCATTATGGAAACACATTTTGGATTAATCAGCTTTTTTTCTCTTGACACATCTGATTTTTTTTTAATGTGTTCACTGTTTCATACTAATTTTTAAAATTTTGTAGAAATCCTTGATTGACATGTATTCTGAAGTTCTTGATGTTCTATCTGATTATGACGCCAGTTACAATACACAAGATCATCTGCCAAGGGTAAGTGAAAAATTAATACATAGTGAACTTGCTCATTAGCAAAAGAACACCTTACGTTTTTTATAATATTTATTTATTTTTGAGAGAGACAGAGACAGAATGCTAGTGGGTTAGGGGCAGAGATAGAAGGAGACACAGAATCCAAAGCAGGCTCCAGGCTCCGAGCTGTCAGCACAGAGCCCGACGCGGGGCTCAAACTCCTGGGCCGTGAAATCATGACCTGAGCCGAAGTCGGACACTCAACCGACTGAGCCACCCAGGCACCCCAAGAACACTTTACGTTTTAAAAAAGTTCTGTGTATATATTCCCAGACACACAATATAGACATATACATATGTGCACACCACACACAGACATAAACAGAGACATATGTCTTTTACCTATATAATATTATTTATGTGTTCTACATGATGTCGTAAGCATTGAATGTTGTTTGGCTGTTTTGGTTCACTGGCCCATTTGGCCCATTGTATAAATACACACGTTGAATTTATGTGTAATGAAGGAAGGTTATCAGGTATCTGCCATTATATATTTGTAATACCCATGGTACTAAAATACCTGAATAGTGGATTAAATTAGTGAGGGAAATTTAATTTCACAGAATTGAAAATGTCTTTGTAAAGAGTAAACTAGCTATGGAAAAGATGTGTACAACAGAAATGGTATGGTTTTAGAAGTAGTGGTTTAATTAGCATAAGGGTTTTTTTGTTTGTTTTTTTTTGTTTTTGTTTTTGTTTTATTCAAGTCAGTTAACATACAGTGTAGTCTTGGCTTCAGGAGTAGAACCCAGTGATTCATCTCTTACACATCACACCCCGTGCTCAGCTGTAAAGTGCCCTCCTTAATGCCTGTCAGCCATTTAACTCACCACCCCCCCACCCTTCCCCTCCAGCACCCTCAGTTTGTTCTCCATACTTAAGAGTCTTTTATGGTTTACCTCCCTCTGTTTTCATCTTATTTTTCCTTCCCTTCCCCTATGTTCATCTGTTGTTTCTCAAATTCCACATATGAGTGAAATCATGATATCTGACTGACTTATTTTGCTTAGCACAAGTCTTTAATAAAAATTTAGTTATAAATAATGGATCCAATTAATATTTTCCTGTTTATATTTTCAATAGGCATATGTGTATTGGCCATCGTTGTTTTCTGGATGGTGTTTTCAAAATCATTTAGCTGTAGCTATTTTAAAAGACTAAAAAAACCTCAGCAGTATTTCAAATCTATTTAAATGTAAGTTTGTGTTAAAAACTCTGGGGCGCCTGGGTGACTTAAGTGTCTGACTCTTGATTTTGACTCAGGTCGTGATCTCATGGTTCATGGGATCGAGCCCCATGTTGGGCTCTGTGCTGACAATGCAGAGCCTGCTTGGGATTCTCTCTCTCCCTCTCTCTGCCCCTCTCCCGCTTGTGCATGCTCTCTTGCTCTCTCTCTCTCTCTCTCTCTCAAAATAAATAAACATTTTTTTAAAATGTGAATAAATGTTATTTGTTCTGTGATAAGGTTGTTGTGGTTGGAGATCAGAGTGCTGGAAAAACTAGTGTGCTGGAAATGATTGCCCAAGCACGGATATTCCCTCGAGGATCTGGGGAGATGATGACACGTTCTCCAGTTAAGGTAGGACAGCAGGCCATCTGGGCGAAGCTCCTCAGGAAAGTAGCAGCTTCCGTCGAGTTTGTTCATTGTGTTGAAATGAAGAATTGTAAATGAGAAGACTGACACATAGCACTGGGAAGTACTCCTGTTGTGGAAATCGGTGGAGACACAGCCAGGAGGCCATTGTGACAGTTGCTGGGCAGGTGAGGGGAGAGAGATGGGAGAGGAGGGCAGAGGCGTGGTGGGGTCAGACTGCACTGAGCTGTTCATTGTTAGGACTCTAGATTTTATTCAATGTGAGGTTAGTGAGAGGCTAAGTAAGAGAATGGGAATATTGGCCGTGGAGTTAGTAAATATAAATTTCCTAGTTTTACTGTAAGAAGAGTAGAGAAATGGGGTAGCAACAGTGGAAATATGTTGGGTAAAGGGAGAGATTTTTATATACTGATTGTAATGATCTAGTTTCAGAGGTAAAAATGATGTAAGAGAGAGGGAACGATTGTAATAGCAAAGCCTTTGAGGTAAACAAGGCTGGGACTCGTTTAATACATTCCAGCACTGTTTGAGGCAGTGTGTTGGTAAACAAAACAAAGATCTTTGCCATAATGGAGGATACGTTCTAGTAGAGGAAGCAGACAATAAATAGTAAACAGAATAAGTGACCAGATTATGTAGTATGTTAAAAGATGGTGGGTGTTTTGCCAAAAAAAAAAAAGTGGAGCCAGACAAGGGAAATGAGGCTGCCAGGGTGTTGGTAGACTGCATTGAGAAGGTGACATTTGAACCAGGATTTGCACTAAGTGAGGGAAGAAGTTGTGTGGATATCTAGTCTACGAGTGTTCCAGGCAGAGAAAAAGTTAGTGTAAAGCCCCTGAGGTGGTTAGGTGGTTTTCATGTTCGAGGCCAGTGTGGCTAGAGCACAGTTAAGATTAGCAAATGATGAGGTCAGAGTATGGATAATGGGAGAAAGGGAAAGCAGATCAGTAGGGCCTTGTTGGTCATCATGCAAACTTTGGTTTTTATTTTGAATAAAATAAGCAGTCCAGGGTTTTGAATAGAGCAATATTTTTCAAAGGCTCACTCTGGCTGCTGTTTTGAAAATAGACATAAGCAAGATGGGTAGAACCACGGAGACCACATGAGAAGCTATTGGAGTGTCTAGGTGATTCTTACACCAGGGAAGTAGCAGTGAAGGTGATAAGAGATGGTTGGATTATGTATCTATTCTGAAAGCAGCATCAATAGGATTTCCTCAGATACTTGATAGAGAGAGTCACTTGTCAGGACAACTCCAGTGTTTTGGGCCTGAATAGATTTCCACATGTAATTGACATGGGGAAGTCTGGAGTAGAGTGAATTAGCTCTGGGAAGAAGATCAGGAGTTTGGGACTTGCAAGGGATGTTAACAAATAAATAGGCAGTTGGAGATACAAATTTGGAGAGAGGTCTGGGCTAGCGACATAAATTTAGGACTCGTAATCAAATATCTAAATGTGATATTTAACTCCATGATCTTACTGGGTAAGATCACCAAGGAAGTGAGGAGAGAGAAGACACAGGATGAAGGATTGTGTCCTGGGCATACCCAAGATTAAGAGGTTGAGGAAGGAGCAGACAACAAAGGAGCTTCTGAAGGAGCTACCAGTGTATTAGAGGGAATCAGAACAGTGCAGTGTAGTGGAAGTCAGGTCAAGAAAATACCGAGGGGGAGGTAGTGATCAGCGAGGTTGAAAGCTGCTGACAGATCAAGGAGGGTGAAGACTGAGAATCGACCGCTGAATTTACCAGTGGAGGCAATGAAGTAGAATATGTGCAAGTTTCCTTCTGCTTACTTCCCCTTGCTCAGTGACTCTAAGAGGCTAGATTATCAGCTGTTAAGTAAAGAGAAGGGAGAAACTGTTAAAGATTGAGCTAAGAAGGAAGACTTTCTAGGCCAGAAGTGAGTTGACAAGAGAAACTGAAACTGAGAAATAATCGGGTTGCTGAGCCATACTGAGGTCCCCATTAAGATCTGTGGACATAAATTTGAGGGGAAGCTGTATGGTTGTGTATTGTTTTCTTTTACGTCAGGTAGTCAGGTACAGAGTAATTGGAGAATTAGAAAATTGACACCATCAAGAATGAAGACCAGAATAGACAATGAGGCTGATTCTAGAATCTTCCAGAAATGAAGCGGTCTAGTGTGTTCCATACAGAGTGCACTGTTTTGGGTCTGGGTGTGAACTCAACTATGTTGTGTAAAACTAGTTTCCTTTTCATTTCTCTATGGTTTTGTGTGAATGTACCCAACTTTATAGATCCATTTTCTATTGATGGGCACTTGGAATACTTCCATTGTGGGGGGAAATTGACTACACCTCATGCCTTGCTCTATAATCATCTCTAAAAACATTGTAAACCTAGCTTCTGCATTGTGAGCAGCACTGTAATTATAGCAGCTGTGGACAATGTTATATTTTAGGAAGGGGTTAATTTTCTTCTGGCAGGTGAGTAAATCATGGACAGATACCCTTGAAACATAAAAGCCTGGGTTTTTTGTTTTGTTTTGTTTTGTTTTGTTTTGTTTTTTTCCAGTTCACCATTACTCCTCTAGAATTTGCTAGAAGACTTCTCCTTGATGGACTCGGAACTCAATTTTTGTCTCTCCTAAACAAGTTGCCAAAATCTTGACTTAGCCTTTTTAGCAGCTTCTTTCTGCTTTGTTTCCACATGTGCAAATGCCTTACAGGGGGCAATTGTGCACAAAAAGTAGGGCTTGGTTTTTGGAGATTCATTTCTGCTGTCCATTTTTTTCTGGGGCTTTAGCACCTTAAATTCAGGGCTGCTTGATACCCTGATCTCTGATTTTGTCTCCTCAATCCAGTAAGACTGGTAACCTTTTCTCCAGTGCTACCATGTTCCACAAATCTGCTAGCACCCTGAGAGAAAACGGCCATCAGAATGTGTCCCTAACATCCTCGGGGGTCTTGGACTGAGTTCAGGCTGCCATGGTTGCTTTCTGATGCTTTCAACCAGCTGGATTTTATTGGTTATCTAGCCCGCTTTAGGTAGTCTCACTAGAAGGAATTGTATTTTTTTTTTTTT